CTTACAATGGTCTTGCACTTGAGTCTTCCCAAATCGAGGCTCAGGCCTTTGCATCCATTGAACCTGGGTCTGAATGGAACCTATTTTTCGCAAACAATGGCCCTCAGTTGGTGCCCTATGACAAGCCTCATCGTGAAATCTCTCACGTCACTTTCCACAATGACGGCCACCCATCAACACGACCAGTTCTGGAGGGTGTGTTGCTGCGTAAGGAGGGAAAGCTGCTCAAGTCATGGACTTCTGGATATTATGTCCTGACCCCTTCAAACTACCTGCTTCAATATACGTCTAACAATTATGTTCAAGACCCTACACCAGAGTTTGCACTTTATCTGCCTGAGGCCACAGTATCTGAGATCATTACTAAGGAGGGTGGCAAGTTTAAGTTTACTGTCACGGCCAAGGATGGTACGCGCACCGTCGGGCTCGGCTCTAAGACTTATTCGTTTAAGACCAATACTTATGAAGAAATTGGCGAATGGCAGGCTGGAATTAAGGCCGCATCCACTGGAATCAAGAATGTATTGGCTACTGGTGCAGGAGCAGCTGTTCCTGCAGTTGAAATTCCTCCTGCTGGTTCTGAGCTTTCTTACACAGACCCTAACTTGACTGTAGAGCAACGAGAGGCTGCTCATCTTGCAGAGTCTCTTCAAAACACTAACCTTAACAAATAACTTTTTTTCTTCTTTTTTATTAATTCTTTGTTTATACACTAGTTTTATTTTTTAATGTTTTAATTTTGTTTCTATTTATCTTTTATCTATTTTATCTATTTTATTATCTATCTGATTTATGTCGTATCTCTAAAATGTCGGAACCCCAAGTACCGTACGGCTATATCTCACATGATTTCAGATCTTATTATTATTATTATGTGTGTGTGTGTGTGTTTGTAAATGTAAATAAAAAATAAACAAAAAATCCGCCTTGTCAAAAATCTCATCACCGCGTTTTTTTTTTTTTTTTTTTTATGGCACAACCCTCAGCCTGTCAATTTTCTTTTCCTTACCAAAAAAAAAAAAAAAAAAAAAAAAAATCACCTAAAAAAAAACACCTCCAAAAATTTGGCCCAAAAAAAATCATCACCATCACCACAACCACCATCCAATCTCATTCTGTATAAAAAAAATCTCTAAATATGATAGCCTCTTCCACGTCGAGGCAGGGCCCGGCGATACGCGTGGATTCAAAAGGCGTTCAGAGAAGTGCAACCGCTGCTCCAAATATCGTAAGTTTTATTACAACAAGAACAAAAAACAAAAACAAAAACAACAAGTATTATTCTGTGACTTGTAGCTAACCATCCTACAGACCATTTGCGAGCAAATCGGACAGGGTGCTTATGGCGTGGTGCATCTGGCGCGTCGAGAAGATGGGACTCCGTTGGCAGCTAAAATCTTAAGTTCATCGCGTGTCTCCAAAGACATGGTGGACTCAATCATGCACGAAGTGCAACTTTTGCGTAACCTGGTTCATCGCAACATTGTCAAGTATATTGGTTATATAAAAACCAGTGGCCGACTGTGCATTTTACTAGAGTACTGCGAAGCAGGCTCTTTAGGTGCCATGTGCAAAAAATATGGCGGAATTCCAGAAGAACTCGCAGCCCCATATGTTGCCCAAGTCCTCGAAGGACTTGCATATCTTCACGAACAGGGCATCATTCACAGAGACATCAAAGGTGATAATATTTTAATGACACGCGACGGAATTGTTAAACTAGCAGATTTTGGTGTGGCAACTCGAGCATCCAAAATGGGCCGTAACGAAACGGTTGTTGGTACCCCTCATTGGATGGCACCGGAAATTATAGAAATGAAGGGTGCAATCAGCGCTACAGATATTTGGAGTCTGGGTTCTACCGTCATTGAACTGCTCACAGGAAACCCTCCATACTGTGAAAAGGGGTCCATGGCCACGGCATATTCCATTGTAACAGATGATCATCCGCCTTTACCACCAGGCATTTCCGATGCCGCAAAGGAGTTTCTCATGGAGTGCTTTAAAAAGGAGCCCACAATGCGACCTTCAGCCCGCCGTCTGTTAAAACATTCGTGGATCACAGCTCATGTCAAGAGTAATAACGCTCAAGCAAAGTATGATGATGCAGTCAAGTCGGTTCAAGACTGGAATAAGGCCATTAGACAGACAAAAACAGCAGCAGATGAAGAGGATGATGACAGATACGATGACGATGACAATGACGAAGAACTTATAAAACATACTCCAACAACTGCAGCTAATACCAACAATAACCCTAATTTTTTGAGGGACTCGGATGATGATACCTGGACAGAGGATTTCCCAGATTTCCCTGAAGATTTTACTGCTAAACTTCAAAGTTATCAAAAACGCGTCAAGCATCAAGGCGGATCGACCTCGCCAGGTTTGCCTGTTGTGACAGGAGCCACTGCATCACCAGTAATTCCGGCTCCAGCAGCTCGCAACAATACATCGCGGGATTCAATTCTTGGTGAAAACTCGCCCCATCGCGAATCGGGTGACTCAGACAACTTTTCAGATCTTGAGGGTGATATTGACATTACTAAACTGCAGCTACGCAAACCCCCCCGTGGATCCAAACTTTCCAGAATCCACAGCATAACCAAAAACAACAACAACAACAACAACAACAACAGCAACAGCAACAGCAACAGCAACAGCAACAGCAACAGCAACAGCAACAGCAACAGCAACAGCAACAGCAACAACAACAGCATCACCATGTTGCCACACCGTCACCACCATTGCTACCGCCACTACCACTACTACTGCCCAGCAGACGTACACTCCCCAAAATCATCTCATCAGACGAATCCGATCTTGAAATTAATGATGACGATGACGAAGCTACAGAACCCCCACCAAATCTCGAAGATAAAGTCCATATGCGCCTTTTGGCAGAAGCTGCCACCCAAGTTTCGGCAATTGTCACAGAGCTGCGCGCACCTCCGCCCTCAGAGGAAGTCTTGTCGCAGCAGCTCGATACACTTATTAATGTGCTTGCCGCACACCCCAGCGCTCGCGCAGGTCTCGTCAAGGCTAATGCACTACTTCCATTATTAGAACTCCTCAGACTGTACGCAGACAATACGCGTGTCCAGATGCAGGTCCTGGACCTGCTTGCATTACTGGCCGGCGTCAGCACGCTGCTGCTTGAAAAACTATGTCTCCTTGGTGGTGTGCCTCTTTTGCTGGCGGCTGCATCCCAGGAAAATGCAGCACCTATAAGGTATAAGGCTGCTGCTGTTCTTGAGCGTCTCATTAATCCGCCAGCAAAGCTCCCTGTGGATATTTTACTTTCCGGCGGTGGACTCCATATTTTTGCACAACTAGTTGCTGAAGACTGTGACGCACATGAGTCTCTTGTTCAGCTCGGTATTCGTGGCATCTCCGCTATCTTAAGCGTCGAGGGCTCACGTATGAGTGACGAGATTGGCGTACAGCTAGCTCAGCATGAGATTGTCGGATCACTTGTTTTCGCCATTTACTTTTTCCTAGACCGCAAGCAATCGGGTCTAGTCGATACCTTGATGACATTTTTTACAGCCTTTTCACGCATGAGCGGATACGTTAAGGAAACCCTTGTCAGTATTACAATTGTCCGTGAACTTTTCAAACTCTACCGCCGGTTGGAAAATCAAAAACACAGATTACAAGTTCTAAAGTTTCTCAAGTCAGCATCGATGGCGCCAAAGACCCTCGACACGCTCCAAAGTGCACGTGTCATGGATTTCCTCGTCTTGGTTTTACGCGAGTCTTCATCTCTGCGTAGCGGCTCAAACTTTCAGTCCGTGGCAGAGCAAATTCTCCCTCTCTACGAAAACTTATGTAGGCTATCCCCCCCGCGCCAGGAGGAAATGATTACTTCGGGTGCAACACCTCTCGTCCTGGCTGCTGCTCGATGTTCTCCAGCTCTTCGCGAAACCTGCGCTGCTATTCTTTCTGGTATGCCTTCTATTCGCCGCAGTTCCCGCAAGCTACTTCTACACGACGGCGTCCTCCAGTTTTTCCTCACCTATGCAGACGATACTACAGCTGCCCAAGCCACTGCCTACGACGTCATTGCAGCGTGGCTTTCAGATGACGCCCCAGGAGCCGAGCCATTGCTTCTTGCAGATGCAAACACGCGTGCTCTTGTGCGTGGTCTTGCGGGTGCTACTGTCGCTACAGTTTTTGAGTACTTTTTCGACATGATTACAACGTCACGCCGACTGTGTACAAAAGTGGCTCGTCTACGCGATTTTTACACGGTACTCTGTGCGTGCCTTGACCGCCCGAGGCCTCTGGCTGGCATTATGCAACTTAAAATTGTGCGTGCCATTGTTGAGTATGCTGAAACTGCTACTGGTGGAACTATAACTAGTAGCATTGAAGATGAGCATGCCGCTGCCGATGTTGAAGATAGCCTATGGGATACTGTGCGTGCACGGTGCGACGAGTCTGGGCTTCGAGCTGCTATTGAGCAACTTGCAGCTCGCGAGGGTCAAGTTGTTATTAGTGAGTTGGCAAAGGAAGTAGTTGCTAGACTTGGTTGTGCAGTGCCCTCGACCGCCTCTATTTCAGTCGGACCTAACTGGATCCGCCGTACTTCGTCTCAAAGCAGCAACGGTACGTCTAGCCATATCCAACTGACTCGTGCGTCCAGTGTTTCGTCGTCATCGCGTGGGTCTTACCCAAGCCCTGGGAGCAGCGGCAATGGAAGTGCAGGAACTGGCCACAGACGACAACGGTCTGTGGGCCAGGGTGTCAATGGTATCAATGGTAGTAGTGGCGGCAGCAATAACTTTAGCAGCATGCTTCCACCTATTGAGCCTACGCCATTACTGGTACCGTTTGACGGGTTTGATGGCAAGTCTGCTGGGCTTATTTTGCCAACGTCCAAATCGGGTCTTGGATTAGCAGCATCAGGGCGCGGTAGTAGCAGTAGCAGCAACAGCAGTAGTACAAGCAGTGCAAGTAGCAATGGTGGTCGGGCGCCGTCACCAGAATTACGTCCAAGTCTGCGCTCCAAAGATATGGGGTTGTCTTCATCTTCTGCCATGGGCATACCGCTGGCTAGTGTGTCTGGGGGGAATGGTGGCAGTGGTAGTGGCATTTCGCTAACACCCACAAAGTCCCTGGGAGCAGGTAATAGCACAAGCAGCGTCATGTTCCGGGATCCATTTGTTCCTGGAACGCCCACGCCACGACGTGCAGGAGGTATTACATCTGGAGGGGCCCATAGTTCTCACGCTGGGCACCTCTCGGGACACGGAGCACATGGTGTGCGCACTGCAGGAAGCAGGCGGAACTCTGCAGCAACAACGGGTGTTGTTTTACCACCATCATTTCCACCATCTCAACCGCCTTCTCCTTCACCGTCGTCATCGCCTTCATTATGTGCTGTGCCGCAGCCATTGATGCCATTTTCAGGTTTGCAGCTTGCTCCACCGCAGAGTCTAAACGGGGCCTCAGGTGCATTACCTTCATTGCCGTCGTCGTCATTTTCAGCTACTCGCCGCAAACCGGCGCACGGACATTCGCATTCATACGCACATGGCCATGCTCGCACACGGTCGCATTCAGGTGCAGCTGCCATTCCACATTCTGTCTCAGTTAATACAGGGCTTGATGCACTTTTATCAGGCAAGGGGAGCATGAGTGGTAGTAGCGCAGCCAAGCGTGGAGATAGCTTACTTGCGGAGGGCATTAAGGAAGAGTCTGTATTTTGAGCAGAGGGGAAGTTGTAGTAGATTGGTGTAGTGTAGATTTCTTTTTTTTTTTTTTTTTTGGTAATGCCCTATAGTGTACAATAATGACTTTCTTTTTTTTTTTTTTTTTTTTTTTTTGATAACTGATTTCTTGTTTGAGGAAGTCTCAGACGTAGAACATCGGTAAGAAGTTTTCGAGGTCGTCAAAAAATTCAAAAAATTTAATAAAAAAATAAAAAACCAAAAAACCAAACAACTAAATAACTAAACAGCCGTACTATTTATACGGCTGAATTTTTTTTTTTTTTTTTCAACTATCACCTTATCACCTTATCACACACAACTCTGCTGCTGTCATACATAATTATTATAATAATACAAAAACCCATATTGTACTTTTAATTCTCTTCAAAAAATAAAAAAAAAACCCATTTTTTTTATTTTTATTTTTATTTTTATTTTATTTTTCTGTTTTCTGGTTTTTTTCAAAGCTATGTATATATATATATAGTCTTAGAAGTTTGGCCGATTTTCTGTCTTTTTTATTTATTTATTTATTTATTTTTTTTTGAAAATTCAATTCCTCAAAGTAACTTGTAAATATTAATAATAATTAGTATTTTTTATTGTATATAAAAGAACTTCTCTAAAGCTCTTTTCCTCCTCCAAATATATATATATATATATATATATGCTTAATAAAAAAAAAAGAATAATAAAAAAAAAGATTATGCAAGCATTTTAATGCCAAATTATACATTTATATAAACTCAAACCCAACCTATGGCGAGTTGATCCAACTAACGATTGTAGTAAAGGTAGTGTAAAACATGGCTACAAAGCCAAAAATGATTAGCGCCAAATCAAAGGCCTTAGCAGAGGTAGTTGATGCCACGCCCTTAAGGTGAAGTAACGGGGGGTAGATATACCCGAGGGGGATGCAAGCAAAGGAACCAATAAGGGCGACAAATCTGTCCAAATCGTCTGCGCCTCCCCATGCAATAAAAGCAGTCAAAAATACAAGACAGAACCGAAATACATTTTTTTGCCACTTGATGCGTACATTGTACTTTCCCGAGCGAACAAACAAACCATTTTCGAGAATACGAATGGCAGGGAAGAGTTGCAATGGTGTTGAAAGCAAAATGGCAAGCGAGTAGAGTAACTGAATGAAATTGACAAATTTGGAGTCTTGAGGCAGATTTAAAATAACAACTGTCTTCACGTCAGAGCCATAAGCAGCATAAGATAATGCGCCCATGGATACGAAAATAACAGTGATACCAATCATGACACCACCAAGAACATAGGGGAACTTTTGTGGCTGCTTCATGGATTCTTGGATAGGGATAATCAAACCAATACCCTCAAAAGTGAAAATGGCTGTGCCAATGAAGAGGGTCCAATCGCGGGGGTTAAACAGCTTAACATCGGAGATGCCGTTACGGGCGAGGGTAAGGCCGCCCCAGTAGTAGAGATATAAGAGACCAAGGAGAATGAAAAAGTCAGCAACAAGAGCCGTTCCAGACAGCTTTGCAATGTTGCGAATCATGGAAAGCGGGAGGAAGATAAGAAGTTGAAGGAAAATGAGTTGCTCGATATTGACGAGCGTTTGATTATTAGTGACAGCAAGAATAAGGGCCTGAAGGTTTTCCGAGGTAAAGACAATGTAAGCCGATGCAAAGCCAATTTGGGAGAGCACGAGAGATGAGAGAATGAGATTACGCATTTTGGGTCCAAAGAGGGCGCCGCCGATATCACCAAAAGATGAGACGCCGACGGCCTTACGGGACTGCAACAGGAGGACGAAGCAGACCTGGGACAGAATGGCAACAAAAACAAGCGCAAGAGACGAAAATAAAATGCCACCATTGAAAAAGGCCTTGGGCAAAAAGAGCACACCTGTGCCCACAAAGCTTTTAAGAAGAAGCAGCACTGCTTTGGTGATGGTCGCGTTTGCCTTCTGCTTGTGGTGGTGGTGGTGAGTGCGGCGCTCACGGGAGGGAAGTAGCGCCGTGTCCTCGGTGGGTTGCCCGTTGCCTTCGTCCTCCTCATCCGTAGCGCCTGAGCCAGAAGGTGCTGTGCTTTGGAAATCTTCATCCGTATATTCATCATCGTCGTCCTCCAGTTCTTCACCAGCAAAGTGGCCATAGATGCTTAAAAATTCAATAAAGTTTCTAGTCAAAAAGGTTGGCGGGTGTACTTGTTTCTGGTCTTGCGCACGTTTGGCAATAAAGTTACGGCGGAACCCGCCAGGCACTTTAATGTTGACATTTTCTGGGTCCACGGGCCGGGGCATATCAAACGACTTGGCACGTGTACGTGTCTTGTTTGCGATTGAGTCGGGTTCATGGTCACGTTGCCACTTATAAAGCTGGCGGGTAATGTCACCTCCTTGAAGACGCAGCGAGTCAAATTGTTCATCTGGATCACCCGTGGCATCGTAATAGCTGCTGCTTCCAGCCCCAGTCGGGGTAGTACCAAACATGTTGCTTCCTGTTCGTGACCGGTTACTATTACTATTATTAATGTTGATATTGTTTGAAAACGATCCAGAAAGTCCATTATTGGTGCGATATGAAGAGGAAATATCATCTTCATTGACTAAATGACGGCCCACCACACGCACAAGTTCAGGGTCTGGGTTCTCAATGTTGAGAGAGTAGACTGAAGGAGTTGAGCTTCGTGGGGGTTGTTGGTTTTGTGCACCAGGAATGGCTGTAGGGCCATTGTGAAGTAATGAAGTTTGAGGAGAAGTTCCAAAGTCAGGAATAGCCAAAGATGAGTGTGATGGTCTTCTAGATGAGACGACTGAAGAGGTAAATGGGTTAGCGAGACTACGGACGCTGGGGGACCCGACAGGTGATGCGCTTGCTAGTCGGACGGCCGACTGCCGAAAGGGAGACTCAGCCAGGTTTTGGTTTGATTGGCGTCTATTTCGGTTTGAGCCTGGAGTATTTATAGATCGAGGAGAAGCCATTTCAAAAAAAGTTCGGATCTTTTTATAAAGAAGAGGTGTTCCGAACGGGTGATGGTGGTGGTTGTTGTTGTAGTTGTGTAGTAGTTGTTTTAATTGATAAGGGTTTGTGTGTGTGTGTGTGTGTGTGTGTATATTGTAGTACTAACAAGTGTATATATATATATATATATATATATTTTTTTTGGTGGTGGTGGTGGTGGTGGTTTGAAAGAAAAGAAAGAATTTTTTTTTTTAAAAGTGGAAGGTCCACCAAGGCAGGGTAACTACTTAAAGCCGTGCTTTTAAGTATATTTCAGAATAATAACAAATATATGAGTCTGCGGCGCAAGTTCCGAAAGTCTCAAACATGCATTGTTGCAAAAACATACCGGGACAACCAAAGAACCGAAAAAAATCGTTTTTTATTCTAAAGTTTATAAATTGTTTATATAAAGTTAAAGTTATATAGGATAAAGAAGAAAAAACAAACATTAGAATATATAAATTAGTTTATTAAGCGAAGAAACAACAAAAAAATAAAAACAAACAAAAATGTTAAAAAAAAAAATACACTTTATAAACTACAGGCGCCGACCCGGGACTAAAGTAAAAAGAACAATAAAACACGCCGCTACAATGACAATAACAGCTGCCACAAATAACGCACGCTTTATTAGTAACTGGCGAACATAAGGCTCACGAATGCGAATCATTTTGCCAGGCCCAGTCTCAGAATACCCCAGTAACGCCAGAATTGGGTCAAGGTTATAAAGCCCAGACATTATACCATAAACAGCAAATGCAAATGGGATAATAAGATAAATTCTATCTGATTTAGGTTTCCAATCAAGGAAAATTAAAATAAACCCAGTCCAAAATGCAGCAAATGTCGACAACAAGCCAATGACCAGCCGGACAATGGAACCAAACGGAGTGGTATTACCTAAAGCCTTGGCCACAAGAAAACTGCGAAAGGCCTCGCGCTGCATGGCCTGAAACACGTACTCACGGGCCTCATCAAAAACTTCTGGGTCATCGCGACCTTCCACCTCAATTGCATGTCGCACCAACCGCATGATGCGCTGCGGTAGTACAATCTCGCGCTCAGCACCAGGAATAAAGTACGTCACCAATATAAAATGTGTGGATTGTTTAATATCGTTACGCGTCACAAAACTTGACGAGTTGGAATGTGGCTCAAATGATCGCTCCGGCACTGCCGGTGCTTGATGTCGCATAGAGTCATCATGGGTATTTGAGATTGTGGAATGTATTGGACCATGTGTGCCTGGTGGGTGCAAAGAAGAAGAAGAACCAGCAACCATTTCGTCCATTATTATCGACCTCCCATCTCCAAGAGATGATGCTCGCGATGACTGTCTATGTAATAGATGTTGCTGTTGTTGTTGTTGAGGCGTACGAGGAGTAGAAAAAGGACCCGCTTGGGCACCTGTTGTTGAAGAAGTAACACCCCGGGGGACTCGTGGAAGCACTCCACCACTATTATCATGGAGTAGGGGGGACATTGTATTCACTTGTAGTCGAGGATCTTGTGGTGCGGGTGTGTTTATCATATGTGGAATGATGGAGGCGGATGCTGCGGCTGGAGGAAGAGGAGGAGGAGTGGAGACCGAATAGAACGATTCATTATTATAATTGTTATTGTTATTGTTATTATGAGGAGCTTCGAAAAGATCGTCGTCGTCGTCGTCGTCGTCGTCGTAGTCAACGTGAGACCCGGTATGGATCCGATGTAGATACTGATGTTGTTGTTGAAACGCGTGGTCTGAGTTACGCTTTTCATCCAGTAACGCGTTGGAGTTGCGTGCAGAGTCAGACCCCCCTGAGGCAGTTGCTGCAGCCACAACCGAGTCCGACATGACTACACGAATAGGTGAACCTGAAAGCCGACGCTTTTCTTGAGCCCATGCGGCAGCCATTGCGCTAGTATTGGGAGGATGCAAGTGATATGAGCTTCTGTTTGTTGGTGTGCTAGGTGTGCTGGGCTGTGGCAGCTGCTGGGACTGTTGAAGTAATGCTGATGGAGGCTGCTGGAGTTTATCTTCTTGTCCTTCATATCCTTCCTGTTCTTTAGGATTCATATTTTCTAAAAGAGCTGATAATCGTGAGAGATTGCCCTGGTTCCCATCAACCTCTTCACCACGCAAAAAGGCAGAGAGTCGACGCGAGTCCGTGTCGTCTAAAGTACCGTCTTGAATAAGGTTGTCGAGTAGCACTGAAGATGTTCGTGAAGACGAGGGGTCACGTTCAGATGCTAATAGCGATTGGCGTAAACCACGAACATAGTTTCTGCAGAGAGATAAGTGTTTGACGACATCAAGCCAAAAATCAAGGTACTCAACACCTCTATATTGTTCGCGCATGAAAACATAAAAGGACCAGAGATCGACCGGAGCACGCGTCCGAAGGTTGAGTACTTCAAAAAGCGTTGGTAAACGGTCGCGCACACCGCCCGAGTCGTCACCAAAAGTACTATGGTGAGTATTGTGTTGGTCAAAGGGCATTTGGTGGTGGTGGTGGTGGTGGTGGTGGTGGTGGGTTTGAATAGATTGTATGTATTATTTATATATATATATATGTGTGAATGTAAAAAAAGGTAGGCTGGCAATGAAAAAAAAAAAAAAAAAAAAAAAAAAAGGCTGGTGATTTTTTAATTTTTTAATTTTTTAATTTTTTAATTTTTTAATTTTTTAATTTTTTTTTTTTTTTTTAGGCTGTTAAAAATAACAATTAAAGGAGGTTTTGGAATGTTTGTTTCTCTATGTGGTAACGGTTTTCGTCGCCCTGGGTGGTAGTGGTAGTGGTAGTAGTAGTAGTAGTTTGTTAGTGTAACAGTGTTGTAATAAAAAATAAAATGTAATAATAAATGATGTCATTATGTGTCAATGTTTAGTAATCATTAATAATAATAACGTAAAAAACACGTTACGCGTTTATTTAATTATTTACGCGTTTATTTATTTTTATTATTAAGTGCTTATTAATACTCGGGGACATTAACATCGGGGAGGTTTTTTTTTTTTAATATAAAAAAAAAAAATAATAATAAATAATAAAGTAAACAACAAATCAATCAAAACAAACAAATCAAAACAAACAAACAAATCAGGAAGGTTCCCTTTTTAATATAAATAAATATATATATAAAAAAAAAAAAAACTATTTAAACTCTCTCCAAAGTATCTTTCTTTCCTTTTATTTATTTAATTTTATCTTCAATTCTTTTATTCTAAACTTTCATCTTTATACCATCATTCTTCATATAATAATAATAATAATAATAATAATAATAATAATAATAATAATACATTAAAAATGTTTGAAGCAAAACTTAACGAAGCTAGTGTCTTTAAGAAGGTAAGAAGCCCTTTGTCTCACCATTGACTTCTCATTTTTAAATATAACTAACATTAAACTCTATAGATTGTCGAATCAGTCAAAGATGGCTTCAAGAACTGTAACTTTGACTGCTCAGAAGAAGGTATCTCAATGGAATCCATGGACGATGCACACATTGCTCTCGTTTCCATGAAACTTGGAGTCGAAGCCTTTTCATCATACCGCTGCGACCGCTCTATTTCCCTCGGTCTTAACATTGAGTCTCTCCTTAAAGTTCTCAGAACTGCTAACAATAATGATGTTCTTACCATGCGCGCAGAAGACGACGGAGATCTACTCACCCTTGTTTTTGAAGACTCTTCTAACCCAGACCGTATCTCTGAATACAATCTCAAGCTTCTAAACATTGACCAGGAACACATGTCTATCCCCGAGCAAGAGTACACTGCCACTGTTACTCTCCCCTCCTCTGAATACCAGCGCATTATTCGTGACTTGACCCAGCTTGGTGATTCAATTACCATCGACGCTGCTAAGGATGGTGTCCGCTTCACTGCCGAAGGTGACATTGGCTCTGGCTCTGTCTCTCTTAAGGCAAACACCAATGTTGGTGAAGATGAAAAGTCTATTGACATTGCTGTTGAAGAACCAGTTGCTTTGGGCTTTAACTCCAAATACTTGACTCAGACTTGTAAGGCTGCTCCTCTGGCGCCCCGTGTCTCTCTCAACATGTGCAAGCGTATTCCTATCTTTATTTCATACAAGCTGCAAGCCGGTCACTTTAGCTTTTTCCTGGCACCACAAATTAGTGAAGGTGATGAGGAAGACGATGAAGATGAAGATTAATGAACCAAAAAAAAAAAAAAAAAAAAAATTGTAGAGACTGAGTCTCTATATGTGATGATTTTGTTATGCCCCCCCTCTGTAATAATATAATTTTTTTTTAATTTGAACCAACGTTGAACTAAAAAGATTTTAAAAATAGGAATCAAGAATTTGTCTTTTTTTTTTATTCAAGAGATAAAAATACATAAAATATTGATATTAATTCAATTTTTTTTTTTTTTTTTTTTTTTTTGCTCTTGTTGTAGAACTGTCCGTTTTTCACAATATACTTTTTTTATTTCAACACAACTTTTTCATTTCCAATAGCCCTAAAATAATTTCTAATGCCAGTTGACTTGAAATATGAAAAATCTCTTTTTCTTCTCTTTTTCTTTTTCTTTTTTTTTTTTCTTTCAGCAAAGACCATTCTAATAAACTGAGTATTATTATTTCCCGAGCTCCATACTTGCAGTTGTAGTTCTCTTATTCAATAGAAAAATTTTAAAAATATGAAACAAAGTTATTAATGTTTTTGATCAATGAAAATATTTTATTTATTTGCATTTATTTGACATTTAAAAATATAAAAAAAAGTAAAAGTTTTGTTATATCAAATAAAACATTAACCATAATATTTTAAATTCCTTTTTATTTTATATCATGTGATCGGCAATAGTTTAGTGGCTAGAATTTCCGCCTGTCAGCATAATAAAGCAGCACGCGGGGGACCGGGGTTCAATTCCCCGTTGCCGAGTAATCTTTTTTTTGTTAAACTTAAAAACTTTTTATTAAAAAATATATATATATATATATAAAGTGTACATTTCAGAACGCTTATATTAAATCTGATCCCTCCCTCCCCTAAAAGCCGCTCTGATTCAGACATTTTTGCTTTCTCTCATTTTTGGCTGGAAGTTTGTTTCTATTTTTTTTTTTTTTTTTTTTTTTTTTTTTTTTTTTCTCTCCTTCCTAAAAGTTCCCACAATAATCCTTCTTCATCATCATCTAGTCATATCATCTCTCTCATAATGCCACCGCCTAAGCGGAAAGAGAAATGGCACAACCCTCCTACAAATAATGACCTCCTCAATGACCTTTATGCATCAACCCGCTCTGTCATCCATGCCCGTCCGAAATCCCGCATGGTCTCTCCACCTTTCCCACGTAGGTCTCAGCAGCAATCCCAGCCGCAGCAGCCGCAGCATCATCATCATCAACAGCAGCCGCAGCAGCGATCGCAACCAAAGCCTCGACCTGCATCTTCTTCCTCAAATTCCATGACAAAAAGACCTGACCCAAAAATTGGTCTACGTTACGATGGCTCTGGAACTCCAATTCCAACCCAGTACATGTCTTTACTCAGCCAAACCCTCCGAGAACAACAACTTGTGGCTGCTGTCAATGGTGGCAGACAAGCTTTTGTCAACTCGCCGCAAAGATCGGCCGGACCAATAACTTCAAGAAACAGATCAAAAACAGCACCTCCGCTGCCGTCAACAAAATCAGTAGACTCTTCTAGTAAACCAAAACTTCCATCATCGGCACGCAAAAAACGTGGAGAGCAACTCAATATTAAGCTACCACAGCCAATACCCAAGAAAACCACTGTTTTGGAGGACTATGAGAAAAATGAAAAGGAAGAAAAAGATGAAGATGAAGGAGAAGATGAATCGGACGAAGAGGAAATCGAATGGGAAGATGTGGCTGCTGAAGCCCAAGAAGATGAAGAAGATGACTATGAAGATGAAGAAGATGACGACTCTGGTTCAGACTCGGATACTGCCATAGAACGCAGACGTGCAAAATTTGGTCTCACTGGAAATGACACTTCGGAAAAATCTTCGAAACAAGTCACTCTTGTTATACCAGAAAAAGAAAATACCCAATCCAAATCCTCTAAACGAAACGGCCCAACCACATCTCTTTTACCTCGCGCAGAAAAGGCAACTCGTCTGGCCATTCACAAAATCCATCTTCTTTGTCTTGTTGCCCATGTGGCTCTGAGAAATCACTGGTGTAACGACCGCCGCATCATGGCCGCTTATCGAGGACTTTTACCGCCTTCAGTCATTGACAAAATAGCTCCAACTCAAGATACCCTTAATAAAGTTTGTGAGCGTTATGGTCAAAGTTCAGCTGATCTTATTCTTTCTCGAAAACTAATGGACGGTCTGAGATATGCAATGTCAGCATGGAATGGTTCTGCTGCTTATTCACGTCGTCCCTCCGATTCGGTCAGACCTTTGCGTGGCACAGGCTTCAAAACAGCACTTGATCGTGGAATCAAATTAGTATCATGGGCAGACATCAACAAACCCGACAGAATCGTGGAAAGTAAAATGGACAAGGAAAAGTTTGTCAAAAATCTTACTAAACGTTTTCGTGGATCAAGAGACCTTGCAGCTCAGGGGTTCACTGCGCTACTGCGATCTATTGGGCTTGATGCACGCTTGGTTTGCTCTCTTCAGCCGTTAGATTTTACTTCAAATGTTCCCATTGAAAATGATGGTGAATTTTCTGGCCCAGCAAACAACATTTGCAGTGCTTATCCTGTTTATTGGACCGAAGTATGGGATCCATATGCGCGCCATTGGATTTCTGTTGACCCTATTGTTCTCCAAATTATTGAAACAGCTACCTTGCGCAGGAAATCCAAATTTGAACCTCCTTTAAAAGACCCGGCAAACTCGCTTCGTTATGTTCTTGCTTTTGATCCTGATGGTCGTGCAACTGATGTCACTCGACGATATGCGTATTGGTATAATGCAAAAACTAATAAAAAGCGCGTGACAGTAACACCTGAGGGCCGGATTTGGTGGGCTCGAGCTATGGCTCTTTATAAAAGATGGAATCTAAGAGTATGTTTGGTATCTTTGTTATTCGTCTCAACTAACTTATTTTTAATTTTTAATTTTTTTTTTTTTTTTTTTTTTTTTAGGAACGAGATGTGCTTGAAGCAAAAGAAATGCAAGACAGAAACGAGGGAGAAGAACTGCCGTCCAAGCTTGGTGATTTTAAAGACCACCCAGTATATGTGCTTGAGCGGTTTATTCGCTCGGATCAAGTTATTGAACCCAAAATACCCTGTGGAACTCTTGCTTTAAAGAAAAGTGGTAGAAGCATGGCCACTCCCATTTTTAACAACTCGTCACGTACAGGAAGTGCCGCATCTCGGGCTGCTGCCAATGCAACAGCAATAACGACTGCACCACCACCACCAAATGTGGAGTATATTTATCCACGTAAGTTTGTCAAAGAGGTCAAGTCTGCACGCACATGGTATCAGCAAGGCCGAGTACTCAAGCTTGGAGCAGCTCCAAAAAAACATATTATACGCAGATCGCTCCAGTCTTTAGGAAGACCAACTCACCGCCGACGCACAGTTCAAAGCGATGAAGATGAAAGCTCTGACGATGATAAAAACATTTTTGACGAGACTAAAGAGGACGATGGCAAAGTTCGTGTTGGACTTTACGCTTATGATCAAACTGAGCTGTACGTCCCGCAACCTATTGGTGAAGATGGGTCTGTTCCACGTAATGCTTATGGTAACATTGACGTTTTTGTTCCTTCCATGATACCCAAGGGTGGTGTGCTTTTGACACAACCGCATATTGAAGTGGCAGCCAAGATTCTGGAAATCGATTATGCACGCGCCATTGTTGGATTTGAGTTTGGTAACGAGGCTTCTTTTGCTTTTAAAGATGGGAATACCGAATCTTTAAGCTTGCGCCCTAAAAAGGGCGCTGTACGTGCTCGTGCTAAACATGGCGGTATAGTTATTTCGGCAAAATACGAAGAAGCAGTCAGAACTGTATATGATGCATTAGTACAAGAGCAAGAAGAAGAGGACCGTCGGCGAGCCATTGCCATGGCACTGTTTCGGTGGCGACGCTATGCCACTGCCTTACGTATCAAGGCTCGACTCAATAAAGAGCATGGTACTGTGGAGGAAGTAGAAGAGAGAGAGCAAGAAGAACACGCGGAAAAGATTCGACGAGTCCAAAGAGATGTCAAAAAAGCTGTGATACAAAAGGATCTTGAAGAGATACCCAAAGAAACACAGCAAGGAAAGGGTGGATTTGTCCATGATGATGAAAATTCTGGTGGTGGCGGCTTTCTTGAAGAAAATAATCAAGATGGTGGTGGTTTTTTACCTGATGATCAAGGTGGATTTGTTCAAGAAATTGATGAGAGTGGTGGTTTTTTGCCTGAAGACCAAAATGAGAGTTTACTACTAAAAAATCAAAATGGTTCTAATTCAGAAATCCAGGGTGGATTTGATCCAGAAGACCGAGAGGAAGTTGTTGAAAAGGAACAAGGCGGGTTTGTTCATGAAGACCAAGGTGGGTTTGTTCATGAAGACCAAGGTGGTTTTATTCAAGAGGACCAAGGTGAGGGTTTCCATGAAGATCAGGGTGGTTTCATTCAAGAAGACCAAGGTGGTTTCATTCAAGAAGACCAAGGTGGTTTCATTCAAGAAGACCAAGGTGGTTTCATTCAAGAAGACCAAGGTGGTTTCATTCAAGAAGACCAAGGTGGTTTTATTCAAGAAGACCAAAATCAAGGTGGCTTTATTGCTGATGATGATACCCAAACTGATCCACCAGTAGCGTTTGACGAAAATAGATTTACTACTACATCGCCATCTTCTGAAGAAGTTACTGAAGAACCACTTAAAGCATCATCACTTACATTTTCAAAAGTATCAATCGTTGCACCTGCACCTTTACGTCCAAAAATCAAAATTCCCAAGTTTGTGGAAGTTAGTGATGCTGACGAGGAAGACGATAGTGATTATGAGTTAGAAAGCTCCAGAAGACCAGTACCTCGAATCAAGTTAGTATTAGGGAATCGGACGTCGAAGGACATTAAAGGCAAAGGTAAACCTCCTTTGCGCGAATCAAGCGAAGAGGATACAGTTAAGAAGGAAGTTATGGCACCTCGTGGAATCAATTGGCTTAGACAAGAACTTGCAGGTAAATCTAAAGAGTCATCAGGATTAAATGAGAAAAAGTCTAATTCAGTGGTTCTTTCAGATAGTGACAGTGATAACAGTGATAGTGTTGATTATGGGTTAGATTTAGCGATACTTCAATCGTTGGAGGAAACAAATGCCAAAGCTAAGAAAGAGTTACCGCCACCATTACCACCACCATTACCATTACCACCTGTTACAAGGAAACCCCCCGTGGAGATGACAAGCAGTGATGAAGAGTTAGAAGCTGCTCGGTTAGAAGAGGAGGCTCGCAGAGAAAGAGGGGAGCTTGATGATGACGATGATGAGTCGCTAAGTGAATCACAGTTACTTGATGCCTATGATGATGATTATGATGATGATGGTGATGATGATTATAATGACAATGATGATTAAAAATAAATAAAAAAATAGACTTTATGATTAGGTTTTTAAAAAGAAACCAAAAAAAAAATTAAAATAAAATAAAATAAAAATTAACATGAAACATAATTGCTATTAAAAAAAAAAAAAAGTTTATAAAAAAGAGTAAATAACTCATTTTTTTTAAAAAAAAAATATTATTATAATCTAGGAAATTCCAGTTTCTGAAGATTTTCAGATTATTTTAATGACATACTTTCTACCAAGGATCAAAAATAAAATTAAAAGTATCTATTTTCTTTTGATAAAAAAAATATTAAATTAAAAAAAAAAAAGTATTTAAAAAAATTATGGTCTCTGGCGGGATCGAACCGCCGATCCTCGCGTATCACAAGGAAGTTGCTTGTTTATTAGCACGATGCCTTAACCAACTGGGCCAAGAGACCTTTGAAAAGTTGTTGTATACTAACATTGAATCACCATTATAAAGTAACTGAACTTTAAAATGTCGCTTAAAAATGCCTAATTTGATTTTTAAATTTTTTATTTTTTTTTTTTTTTTTCAATCTTCATTGTAATTGAGAAATTTTTAGAATAAATTCAAAAAAAAAAGTTATTAAATTATTGTTGTTTTATGGGAGGTGGTCGAACTAAAAGAATATTAAATTTTTTCCTTTTTTAATGGCACTGCAATTCCAACCTTTAAAAAAAATTAAAAAAAAAATTAAAAAAATAAAAAAAAAACAGCTACACTTCTACCAACAAGGACACACTAACAAATGGCAATCCGAGTGCCGACCATCACACCTGACGACTTGCTAGAGTTCCACCGGCGGCATTTCCATGGAGATCCACTGGGACATGTTAAAGAGGTTATTCCTAAAAGTGATGTAGAAAAAGATAAAATAGAGGTTTCTACTGTGGGGACTCTTGTTACCAGCGGTATATGCGAATCTGAAGATGAGGATGATTTAGCAGTAGAAGCAGCAACAGCAGCAACAGCAGCAGCAACAGCAGCAGCAATACCAATTCATCAAACTGAAGATGCTGGCTGCAGTAACAAAACAATTGTGGAATCTACTGAGTCTACTGCAAAGAAGAACAAAAGGACTAAGAACAAGAATAATAAGAATAATAAGAAAAAACGAAGAAAGCCTAATAAAAGACTTGACACAGTTGTGGGACCATCTTCGAGTGGTGGTATTACCAAAGACGTTATTATTTTGGGTGCTGGACCTGCTGAGTTCTCCGCTGCAACAACCTCAGCATGGTCTGGTAGTGGTGGTGATGGTGCTTCTTCTTCTTCTGGTGGTAGTGGTAGTGGCAATGCAACAGTTGTAGGAGCACCATCGCTCCGCTACAAACGGCCATATGGAGCCGTGCAAGCTCGCAACGAGCGCCTGGCGCGCTACATTCGCAGCTCTGCGCCCGACGGCCCATTACAGTACTAAATTCTAAAATAGTAATACCATAATAGTAACAAAATACTAAAATACTAAAATACTAAAATACTAAAATATTAAAATATTAAAATACCAAATACTGAAAACTAATAAAAGAAGCCTTCCCGCACGTGCCGGTTATCGGAATAGCCGCGGGAAAGATGAGGGGCTACCACTCTTTAAATTCTTGGATAACCCTTTTGGGTAACTAAAAAAAAAAAAAAATTTTTATTTAAAAAGTTGGTTTGGTTGGTTGTTTGATTAGCTTATCTATTCATATATATATATATATATATATATATATAAAAGATACTGGTTTATTAAATACAGTAGTATCGATCACCAAAATCACCAAGCCCTGGAGTAATGAATTTATTTTCGTCCAGATTGGCATCAATGCCTCCGGTGATGATCTTGACTTTTGGGTATTTTTCCTGCATTACCTTAATACCTTCTGGGGCCGCTAACAGGTTCAAAAATAAGATCCGTTCCTGTGGGACTCCTCGGTCAATAAGAACTTTAATTGCCATACAAGCAGAACCTCCTGTAGCTAACATGGGGTCAAGGAGGAAAACATAACGACGGCTAATATCATCTGGAAGTTTTTCGTAAAAAAGTTTGGGTAGAGCTGTAGCCTCATCACGTTGAATTAAAATCTTTCCAATTCGTACAGACCGACAACAATCACGTAGTCCTTGTTCCATAGATTCACCAGCACGAACAATGGAAACACCACAGATATGACCATTGAAACGAACACCGGAGTATGAGATGCCTGTAGGTGTGGAAATGGTATGTGGAGAAACAGGCAGCTGGTTGAGACCTTCTTCGACAAGTAGGCGGATGATACGGTCTGCATAGAAGACAAAGTCTGAGCGCGGGGTTGTACGGTCACGGATAATGGTGTAGAGACCGAGTAGCTGATTAGTTTGGGGCAGTACGATGAGCGAAGATGATTCAGAAGACATTTTGATAAGATGTTTTTTTTTTTTTTTTTTTTTTTTTTTGGGGGGGGTTGGAGGATCTTTTAAAATGTATTTGAATGAGTTTTGAATGGATTATATGAAAAGGAGTGGAATGTATAAAGAAAAAAAAAGGTTTTTTTTTTTTTTTTTTACTATTTTAATTATAAGCTTACAGACGGGGGACAGGTGTCCCGTTAGTGGTTGTTGTTGTTGTTGTTGTTGTAGTGGCTAGTGAAAAGTTTGCTCCCATTTAGCCGCTCACAATTTCCCCAGACAGACAGACATACAAACAAACAAACAAACAAACAAACTGATAAGAGATAACCATTTAGGTTTTGTCTAACAGTTTGATTGTATATACATCACATTGGACCTTAACAATATTTTTATGTCCACCCATAAAATAATAACAACAATAACAGATCAACATTTACATTCAAGTCTCAAAATACTAAAACCTTTAATCATCTTTCTTTTCGTATTCTCATTATATAAACACTCTATATTAATACTACTACTACTATTATTCAGTATATATGGACGACCCCTCAGACCTTGACTTGGCCGTCTCATATGCTTCCGAGGGCTGCGATCTAGCACTCTCAAACTCTTCTCCATCATCTGAAAGCATCAAGTCCTCAATACGAGGAAGATTTCCCGCCACATTTTCGTAATCAGGTGGTGACAATGGCACGTCCGAATACCGTGGAGGAACTTCATCATCCCATGCAATCCCCAAACCTGACCGGTCCGTCACAAGCAAATTAAACTGCATTCTAAGTACACGAGCAGCTCCAGTCAATGTCGCTTGGTAATGTCCCTTAGTGGGAACAAGCTCCTCAGCAACCACAATCTCAACCACTAGCGAGTGTGATAACTCAAGTCCATATGTCGGATCAATAATGTTGCTAGACAACTTATGTGATACATGAATGGTGGGTAGCTCCGCAAGAAGCTCAATCTTGCCCTTGCCTGTAAAATCTGTTTTCCAGTCGCTCTTAATTTCACCACCGCACATTATCCGTTGATGTTCCATAAGAATGTCAGATGGATTCTCAATAGGTTGTGGTAGTGGAGGTGGTGGTAGTTGCTGTTGTTGTTGTTGTTGTTGTTGTTGTTGTTGTTGCTGTGGCTGCTGCTGCTGTTGTTCTTGTTCTTGTTGCTGTTGACGATCATGTTCTTGTTGTAATCGCTGTTCAAGAGCAAAGTCAAAGTCTGTATTCATAATCTCTCGTAACGAAGGAGACGACGGCGGGTGAGGTGCAGAATCGTTACCAGTACCATTAGCTAGAGCTGTTGCAGGAGTACTACCACCACTTATAGGTGAGTGTGAAAACGCAATAGGGCCATGACGAGGAGACTGGGCTGCTGCATGCAACGGTGTTCCAAGAGGCGACGATGGAATACCTGAATTACTTGCACCAACTGCAGCAGCCATAGACCGAGGGGTTCCTGCGTGAGGCATCAACAACGGTGACTGGCGAGTAATGGTGACTGCTGGAGGTGGAACCATAAGTGGTGTAGCTGCAGCCGACGTTGACGCCGATGCTGCATTTGATGATCCGCGTCGTGATGATAACGCAGCACCAGTTTGTGGAGACCCTCCATTGGCCGCGCCAGAAGTAGAACCAGCATGTGCATGAGAATGAGCAGAAGATGAAGAGGCTCCGCCTCCACCTCTTACTGAGGTAGGACCTGCGGCGCTACGGGAAGATGAAGATGACATGCTGCGGGCCTTTTTCGGGAGCTGTGCGTTTTCATGTTTAGGACAGCGGGCAGCACGCATTTTACAAGTTTCGTCAATACGCCAATTGAGTTTCCGCATACGCCAGCGGGTTTTGCGACCATTATGAGTATTTTTTTCCGAGCAAATGGATACACCTTCAAGGGAAATCTCGAGTGGGATGGTCGACTC